CGTCATCGATCCAGTTCGTAAAAAATTCCTCGTAGGCCTTTGCCATCGGGCCACCAGCTCGGAGGAGTTTGATGCATGACTGGCTGCGCTGCGCCCCGGTGCGCAGGTTGGGTTTGCATTGGTCCGGGTATAGAGATGTTTTAAGGAGGGGCGCCACGACGCGCCCCCCGGGGCTGACAACGAGTTGGCGGAGGTACGCCTGGAATTGTTCGTCTCGCAAACACTGTTCTTCCCGAGGATCGCCCAGAATATTGATGCAATCCTGGTACTCATACTGCAATATAAGGCTGTTAAGCTCGCCGTTGGCGACGAGGTTGGGTGCTTCAAGCGCCATGCAGACGCGGGGTGCAAGGATCGGTCCTTGTAGGTTGGGTTTGCATTGGTCCGGGTATAGAGATGTTTTAAGGAGGGGCGCCACGACGCGCCCCCCGGGGCTGACGACGAGTTGGCGGAGGTACGCCTGGAATTGTTTGTCTCGCGAACACTGTTCTTCCCGAGGATCGCCCAAAATATTGATGCAATCCTGGTACTCATACTGTAATATAAGGCTGTTAAGCTCGCCGTCGGCGACGAGGTTGGGCGCTTCGAGCGCCATGCAGACGCGGGGTGCAAGGATCGGTCCTTGCGCGCGCTGGGCATTCCAAGTGCCCCTTGCTACAATACCGAGGTGCGTAGGCACCCCGAGAAACCCTTGAGTCCGAATGGGGGGTGCAATGTCACGGTACAAGGGTACTAGGTCATTGCCCCCCAGGACAATATCAAAAGTAAGAACTGTTTCTGTTAGGATTCGCCGATCCGCCAGGTTGAATTTCTCTAACCAGCGGACGGCGCATGGGTTAGAACCCTTCCATGGCTCGACGTGAGGTACGACGAGGGCCACGGTCTGAAAGGTGGGGGAGGTAGGCACTGCCCCCCTGTAGGTAAGGTGAACAGCTTCTGTTGCTGTTACGGGATTAGCCCGTTCTACGCCGCCGATGATATATGGCGGGCATGGTTCGGTGACCAAGTTAAATCTTTGGACGAGGGCCCGGGAAATTAGTGTGAGCTGGGCCCCCGAGTCGAGGAGAGCATACGCCGTATGCCCTTCAGGCTCCAGGCGGATTGCGGCCGTTTCTAGGAAGGCGCACGTAGGCCCGGGTCGCGGAGCGGAGACGACCAGGACGACGCGGCGTTTGGCCGCCGGTGGTTGTCAGACGGCTGGTGCGGCGCGTTGCTGTTTTACAAGCGGGGCGGCCGCGGCAACTGCAGGTGCGGCGGGCGCTGCCGGCGCTGGTGGCGCGACCGGAGCTGCTGGCGCCGCCTGTTGGACCGCCGGGGCGGCTACGGCCGCGGGCCCTCCTTGCTGTGCGGGCTGTTGATTCCTCGGACGGTTGAGGTTGCACGTCGTCGTGTGATGCGGCTGCTGGCAGTGCCGGCATCGGTTGGGCAAGGTGCAGTTGTTGCCATAGTGGTCTCGGGAGAGGCAGTTGCTGCAGAGCCAACGCTGGCGGACGGCATGCAGCTTGTCCCGAACCAAGAGGTGACACCGGATCGCCGTGTGGTTACTGGCGCAAAAGGGACACGTCCCTCAATCTTGCTGGTCCCGGCGATTGTCCCGGTAGTTGTTGTCCCGATCGCGACGGGAGTTGTTATCATTGCGGCGCGGTTGGCCGCGATTATCGTTCCGTCGGTTGGGGGAGCGACTTCGTGGTTGGTCAGAGGAACGTCCGCGCCGCCCCCACTTGCGTGGGGGGCTGCGGGAACGCGACTGCCCTCGCCGAAACGATCGTCGCTGATTATTGTTGTTGCCCTGGTTTTGTTGCTGCCGTCAATTCCCGTTAGAAGTCGACGGAGCCGCGTTTGCCAGATTGACGTTGGCCGCAACCGCTGGTGCGGCGGCTGCTGCGGCAGGTGGGGCCGCGGCCGGGGCTGCGGCGGGTGCTGCGGGAGCCGCTGTGCCGTCAGCCAGGGCCGCTGCGCCCTGAAATGCAAGAACTGGTGGCGCCTCTGCCATGCGGAGTTTGTGCGCGAAGTAGGACCGAATGAATCGGTATTGCCGATGAGGGCGTGTGGCCCAGACTGGGTCCAACTCAGGCATCTGAGCGTGGCGGTTGGTGTAGGCCTGGAGTACTTCCAGGTAATTTCCGCGTTCTAGATGTGCGCGCAGGACCGGGCCCACGCGGAGGTGCACGAAATTCATGTCGGTCTGAATTGTGCTTAATTTCTCAGTTATTTGGACGACTCTGTTAAAGTAGTCGTAAAATTCTTGGAGAGTGTTTGGTGCCGGAAGGCGATCAAATTTGCGGTAGAGCTTCAGGCGTACCGCGTCCGTTTGCCCATACTCGGAGAAGAGCACCTGGAGAACGCTAAGGTAATCCATGTTAATGTCTTGGTACGCGAATGCGCCGACGTTTTCTTTTGCGTCACCATCAAGGTGAAGGAGCAACACTCGGATTCTTTTGATGTCCGTGAGTTGCGCGGCTGGAATAATATGGACTGGCAGAAAGTCGCACCAGAGGCGCTCAAACGGATAGTTTGAGTCCGCTTGGCCAGTAAATTTGTTGAAGGAGGCATCGCGAGCCTGCTTCTCGTACCATTTAACGAGGTCATGGTGGGAGAGGCTGGTGGGTTGCCCTGTCCCATACGTGGCGAGAGCGTGGTGATACGCCTCGTAAGGTTGTCCCTGAGGTTGCAGGATTGAGGAAGGCCCGGACTCCGAATTGCCGTAGCTGGCCGGAGCTGGGGGGTGTAGCAGTGCGGGCGCCATGGGGCGCAGAGGGACAAGCTGTCCCATCGCGGGATGCGAAGCTGCCGATCCCGTGCCGCGCAACGTGCTGGGCATGTGCGGCGGTAACACAGGAACCGGCGCCCCCCTGGGGGAGGGCTGAGGCACGGCGTGCGCCACCGATGGCGTTGGAGGCACGGGTGCCTGAGGCGTTGCGGGAAAAGCAACCCCTAGAACTCGTGGCTGTGTCGGGCGTAGGCGCGGCCACCCCCCGGTCATGACATCCATGGATTGCACCAAAAGGGTGTTCACCTCGGTTGCCAATCGCGTGAGGGCGGCGATTTCGGGCTGCGAGAACGCAGCAGGAGATAAATCTATGAGATGCGCGGCAGCATCAAAAAAGCTGGGCACAACGCTCTCGAAGCATTGTTGCGGATCGCCGAGTTCGGGCGTCCGCAGGATATGGTCCACCGCGCCTACCGCGTTGGCAAGACGGAGGACCTGCTTAATGATTGAGGGGCGGCATGCTGTAGACGCCGAAGAGCAACCACTGGAGGCCGCAATTGAGGCAGCGCCGCGAGACGCTGGCCTCGAAGATTGCCGTTCGACGCCTGAAAGAGGCGCTTGTTGTGTGAGATGCGAGGAGCGCGACCGCGCGCTATTATGGCTACCGTCGCTGGACGGGCTCGGGGATAGGCGATGCCGTGGCCTCGCCGGTAGAGGTCCCCGCCGTCGCGGAGGCTGGCGCGTACCGTGGGTACGGCTTGAGATGGGCGGCGTGCCGGGGACTGCGCCTTCCTCACCGTTCATTGTGCCGAAAAAATTTCACACGAAAGAAACTGGTGAGTACTTACAGGTTTTTTTTTTTTTTTTCTTAATCCCAACCTAAACTAACCTAACCTAACCTAACCTAAATTAACCTAACCTAACCTAACCTAACCTAACCTAAACTAACCTAACCTAAATTAAACCAACATAAATTGAACTAACCTAACATTGCTGATATTTTGCAAAAAAAAATCATCTGTGGCAGGAAACCATTCTGATCTTCAAACACTGCAAAACAGGATTTTAGAATCAATGGGATTCTAGTCACCCAATTGTTGGGGTGCCCCTGTCAGGCCGATTAATGACAAATAAAATGGAGAGAAAGAATAAACGCAGTCACTCAGCCTTTAACGGCCGGATCCTCTTTAGCAGAGTCACTTAGAATAATCAGCTTTATCCAGACACGCACAAAACCACAGAAGGATACAAGGTACCCAGAGGTACAAGCAATCGCGCTAAGACGCAAGTCAGAATTCACAGTCAGGTAAATCCGCACGCTCTCTGCAACAGCTCTCAAGATGTAATGTTCTTCTTCCCGAAGCCCCGAAGGCTTCGGGAGCAGGCGTTCGCTGCCGGAAATGATTATCTTTGTTCTTGACCCGGTTTACCGCAATGCGGTAAACCGGGCGCCCTATCCGCTTCCGGGTTGGCGTGTAGGAGTTGCTGTGCGGTATACCCGAGCGAGGATGCTACGCTCGGGTTGCCGCGTGAACGCGACCCCACAAGTGGTAAAAAATTAAAACGCCAATTGCATTGAGAGAACGGGATATTTTTAGTCCCTTCAACGTACTCAATCAATAAAATTTACCCTGACATCGAATGATTCCTGCCTCTACCACTGATAATCACAGCATTGGTACAGGGATGCTACTGTGGTCGAACCACAGAAAACCCAAATTTACCACTTGAGCCGAAGTACTCTCTATGAATCCAAATCGTCATCAGCTGACGTCGTAGCAATAATAAGTTTCATTCATGAAAAAAATATTTCTAAAATGAATGCTTCGTCGTTATCGCCATTGTTCGCCTATCATCTGACAACGGGCCCATGCCACAATTCCAGCCGTTGCGCATCTGAGGTCGGAACCGAGGTCGAGATGTGAATGCTAATGATGCTCAGTGTTCTCTTATGTCGCGGCTCGTTTCCCTGCTTTCGCTTTTATTCCCCGGGGTCTAATTCCGCCCCTTTTGCTATCAACTGAGCTGTAATAAAGCAGGCTTGCTATTTTCGTGTGAGGGACGAGAAGATGGGTCGTTGGAGACCACTTGGAAAGGACAGTCGGTGCGGGGGGAAACGAGTCGCAAATGCTCACGAGATATCGTGAATGACGTGATGTAACATCTCTCGATTAGTCTGCCAATGGTCCACCAAACAACACTTGATTTAGAGGCTTCGCGCGTCACTTGAGGTTTATTTCGGTCTTTGAGACAATGTGGAATGCCGCGGGGTCCCGAGCAACGAACATAATCAATTCCAGCGCCTGCTGAGTTGTTGCTCAAAACGCTCGTCGTCCAAATCAGGATTTCTCTTAGTAACCTACGGGGGAATAAATTCACTTGCTCCGACAAAATTAATTACCATAGGAAGATGAAAAAAGTTCGTTGTAAAATGAAAAATACAAAAAAGAAAGAGCAGCCACCTAATAGTTTCAACTTTAAAATTGATTTTCAGCACGTTAACTGGGATCGAAAAAGGCATTAAAAACATGCTTCAAATCAGGATTTCCCTTCGAATTTCCTTTGCAATTCTACAACGAGAATAATGTCTGGATTTAGAATATTTCAATCCTTTCAATTTATTGCATCACATTTTCTCGATGATTTTTTATGCTGACTTGAGGCTTGGTGTTCGACAATAAGTCAAGTTGGTTGCCTGAGGCAAAATGGCGGCCGCTTGCGGGTTCGTTGTGTAAACTGCTCGCTGCTATTATTATAGGTAGTTCGTTCCTTGAGGACCCACTGTATCGCCCTGGAAATTTGCAGTCAAGGAGATTGCTTCGTTGCTCGTCATATTTAGAATATTTCGAGAAATGGTGCTCAATGAAACGTCAATCTCTAACGGCCATTCCGATATAGAATCTCAAAACGTGCACCTCAATATAAGAAATTTATACATGTATATGAAAATTTCATATTTCTAGTGAACATGTGCTGAGTTTCAAATTTCGCACGTGCATGGCTTTGAAGCCCTGAAAATGCACCCTTCTTTGCAATTATCCGGATAATCGCTTAATGCAGCGGTTTCGCAGGCGAAAGTGGGTGCATGAGGCTTCTAATGTTTCCTGTTTTGTTCAGGATGGCTGAATGGAAGGCTTGTGGAAATTTGGGTATTTATTCTCACGTGAACTGGAATCTTATTCACATTGTTCCTAAATTTGAATGAAACTGAAATTCCATCGTACCAAACACGTATGTCAATTATTCAATTATTCAAGATTTAATTTGAAAAAAAAAACTCTTCAAGAAACGATTCCTGATGCACGCATTACAATAGTTTTCCCCAACCTTTCTGCTGGGCCAATGGACCAAAAAAAAAAATTTACCAAAGGTACGTGGCATTTCATGGAAAAGTTCCATGAAACATTTGCGGACTGGCGAAGGTTCATAATTTTATCTCTGAATCGGCAAAGTTACACATTCGTTTTCCAAATCAGCACAACTTCTTATTCAAAACTTGCCACAATGTTCTCTAACCATAACTTTTATAGCAAAATTTACGCTGAGAAAAAAGTTTGCAGCTACAGTGCCTTCAAAAATCAGAAAGCTGGGTTTCAAGACAGGTTTATCTCAGAATGAATCCTAAAAAATTGTTTTCAGCAGGTTGAAATTTTTCTGAAGTTTCATCAGGCGAAAAGCCAAGTTTCATTTTTATCAAATAATTTCAAATGTCAGTCTTTCCAAATTTTCAGATGAAGATAACAGACTCCATTACTACTTTTGATACATTCATGATGTTGAAAAAATGTCTCTATATACAGACTTGCTCAAAACTTCTGCAGACTAGCTCGTGTCTACGTGTTGAAAACCATTGCAATGAGGTGTGTGATCCAATTTATTAACGAAAAATTTGGAAATCTTTCTCAACCGGTGTAACTCTTTCGAAATCTTCCTCCGATATTTGTTGATAATTTCTTTTAATTTTTAAATCAATGAGCTGGATTTCATCGTCATCGATGGTATGCAAATTTTTTCCATGGATTCCAAGGGGGAACCTTGATCTGACGCGCATCTGAACAATAATGCAATTTATCCATAGCCTGCTTCTTTTCTTCATTTTAAATTAATAAATTTGCCCATGTTCTACTTAAAAACACGGTCGCAAACTTACCGGCAGTCGTTTTTCCGGGTCCACCTGAATCATTCCCCGAAGCAGGTTCTGCGTTTCCGGAGGGACAAAATGCGGAATATGGAACATTCCTCGCTTCACCTTCTCCAGCAACTGTCGCAAGTTGTCGTCGTCAAACGGCAGAGCACCCACTAGTAAAGCGTACAAAATCACACCGCAGGACCAAATGTCCGCCCTGCGTCCGTCGTACTTCTCGCCCTGTTTGCGGCGAAATATATAATAACGAAGGAAAAAAAAAAAGAATTAGGGAATGAAACACAGGAGTCATACAATCGCATATTTAGGCCAGATTATGTGCGTGGGTATAAGAACACGAACCCTGATGACTTCTGGGCACGCGTAATGCGGTGATCCGCAGGATGTTTCCAGCATGGCGCCTTCCGGCTGCAGCGAAGCCATTCCGAAGTCCGCTATCTTGATGTTGTTCTTGTCATCCAGTAACAGGTTCTCCGGCTTCAAGTCTCTGTGACTGTAAAAAATATACATAAACCGAGGATAGAAGGTTTAAGATACCGACCTTTTTCGCTTGCAATATAGGTACAGTACTGTACTTGAAAACTGTGTATACTCACCAAATGTTGTGAGAATGGCAGAAATCCAGAGCGGAAATGATTTGCCGGAAGAACCGTCGAGCTTCTTTCGGAGTCAGACGACCCTTTTTCACGAGGTAATCGAAAAGCTCGCCTCCGGAAACATGCTCAAGCACCAAATATCTGCAATTTGATCGGAAATACGATATATTTAAACCTTTCGTTTTATGTCCCAGAGAAGATGACAACTCACAAATATCGCTTATTCTCGTAAACGTCGAATAGTCCTAGAACATGTGGATGTTCTATCAGCTTCATTATTGCTATCTCTCGTTCAACCTGTAAAAAACAAAAGAAAAGAAGAGAACATTAATCGTGTGATCCCGATTAAAAAGGTTATGTGATGCATTTTTAAGATTTTGAACTAAACAAGATTCGATTCGCGGAATTTCAGCCGACAATGAGTAAGCTGCCTAAATTTTCCAAGAACAAAATCTAAAAAAAAAAAGGATTATTTAAATCCACACTCGGGGAATGAAGACATTTTTCATAAGAAAAAGCCATTGCACGAATGCCCAATCTCACTTTTATGATATTCAATAAAATATCCTATGAAATGCAGGATAGCATATATACTATTGTTTTTAAATTCCGAAAAAAAGATGCACAAATATGAAGTAGGTGACTAAACTCTCTCAAGATTGAATTAGTTTATCAACATGTTATTTCGTTCATCTTTGATTATGAAACAAACAACATCTGTCAAGTTCAAAAATAAAACGCGGAAGTGATTTATAAATGTGCCTATTCTAATTCAATACAGGCAATCATGCCGAAGCACGTTTGAAAATCAGTTTGGCTAATAGCATTACGAATTGTTGTGCACTGGACTGAATAAATCTAAGTAAAAGTTCAGTATTCTCGAATGGGTATCCAAATGAAATAAAGCTCTCTTGAAAACTAAATAATTCCTGGGTATAATGCACCAAATTTCGTAGTCTTGAAACTTGTAAATCATCCGTCACCCCGTTTGTTCGGAAGTGGAAGGAAATCATATGATAATTTTTCTCGGTAATGCACCAATGAATGAATGAGGAATTCACGAGAAGCTGAGGCATTTTTCTTGCCATTCCGTGGATCGTACATATACACCAGCCTTCATCAAGCCCCCTATATATACGGAAAGAGGGATGATAGGCGGAAGTCGCAGGCGAAAAAGCAATTTTTCAAAATACCGACCCCAGGGCCCCCAGGAGGGATTCGGAAAGTTTATCTTGCTCAGCAACGCAGAGATTAACTGGTATATATACGTCACAGTGCGACGACAGGTGACAAGCTACACGTCACTGCGGATCGCATTTCCGAAATTACGGCAGGTGCATTTTCAGCGGGGGTGGTGGTGGTGTTGGTGGTTGTGGTGGTGTTGGGAATGGCAGAATCGTACAGGGGGTGAAAATTCGGGGGTGAAACGCAGGATATACCCGCGTCGGGGGCACGCGTCGCTCGCATTTACTCGCCCACGCCCTGCACCACCAGCAAATATTCAGCGGGAAAACATGCACGTGTGTGAGTGCGATGCGGATCTTCCGTATTATCACGCAGCTGCCAATATATGTGAGGAGGCTCTTTCCAAACTTCCATTGCCTATGAGCGTGAGCAGTAAAAGTTTTAGAACTGACCAGAGCACTGCCATTGCATTTTTCGCTCTGATCAGATGGCTGCTGTGAGCTCGATTTCCCACAAAATAATGGATTGATAAATAAATATTCAGGCAGTTGTGGCTGGGAACACATATTCAAAGGGAAACGTAAGAATATATGTTCCAAGGTTTGTAATACATTTCATTTCTTTAATTTTCTCAATCAAGAAAATTCAGAACTCTAATAATTCAACAACAAACAATTTAACTGGCCGAAGAAATCAGACCAAATAAAATAAAACATCAAATTTGTCCACAAATGAATCTTCTTCAAGAATTAAGGGAATGCTACTCCAATATTCAGAATTAGAATCACTTTTTAATACTTTCATGGAAGTAATATATAGTGAGATTGGCTTTCTCTTCTCATTCACTCCAAAACTACAATGGCAATAACCGTGGAGTTCAATACTTTTTGCAAATTACGATTAGTTCCTGGAGAATCAAACCCGGGGGTGAACGCTTTAAACGTTAAAGGTTGTCATGTGCACCAGCATTGAACCGTGTATTTTCATATCAGTTTTATTTCATGTTCAGTTTTCTTTGTTTAAAACCGTTCTTGATACTGATACAGAAAATGTTGCGGTAGGTTTGTTTGCGAGAAAATGGGGTTTTACGGGTACGAGCTTTCCTCATATAAGAAAAGATGTTGGGTACGAAAATGTGATTCCGCCCACTTGGCACAGCTGATGTGTTCGGACTTTCATTTCGAAGTATATGGGGTTCGCCAACCCTTTTCAATGTAGAATACAAAACGCAAGACCACCGAAAGAAAAACATACACAGGAATTTCAAAAATTAAATTCTGCCGGCTCTAGCTTCTCTATATGCATGGCAACAAATAAAAAATTATTTTCGAAATGAAGCTCAGAGAAAAACGAACAAGGTTATGATGATTTCTTCATTTGGAAAAAAAATGATGTGGGTTTGCCTATCTTTCCTAAACGCAATTTTCGATTTTATTGTAAATTTTTTAGAGGAATAATTTTCATTTTTCGAATTTCTATCCGGGTTTACAAAAGAAGAAGGTATTACACGAAAATGTACAATTTGATTGCGTTTTTCTTTCATTTATTTACAGTTACCCCTTCCTGCAGCTATTCTTAGTAAAGCAAATTTTAACCTGCTCAAGTGTGCTTTTATGCAAGCAAAAAATGTATTTGTTGATATGAAAAAAAAAAATTTCTGGTTGAGTGTTTACCATTCCCATTTTTCGCTTCCTTCGTCTACGTCCTGAAAACTCAGTTCCGAGAAAATCCATTGTTTGCTTGAACTCTGATGGTGCACACATGGCAGATGGAACTTTTTCAGCTCCATTATGGAAACTTTTCTCGGAAGAAATGCTTCCAATGCTTTTGGAAGAAGCCACAAAAATAGATATTATCCAAAGAAGAGAACAACTTTCGTATACACCATTATGCACAGGTTCACGCATCGTCCAAAATTCGGGGAGGGTTTCGGACTTGTGTAGGTTGAAGAAAATATCGACCGCTATAAAATGCTGAAGCACGGTATTTTTCTTTCATTGTATGGCGAATTCAGCTGATGGGAATGGCAGTTCATTTAAAGTTCTTTTTCTGACCAACAAAAACTTTATCTTAACTGTCAAAGAATATTTATTGAAGATGGATTTCACTGATCAGAATACGCAAAACTCGTAAAACGAAGTTTCAAGCTTAAGATGCCTGGTTTCGAGCAAAGTCTCCGAACGAAGTGACTATTTTGGAAATTGCAAATTTTTAAACCCCATTGGCAGAAATACCATGTCAAGAATTGAGTTCAACCGATTTTATCACCGCGAAAGAAGCACGAAACAGAGGGAACGGACTAATAATAACCTCGACGTCCGTAGAATTTTTGCTGGCGTTGAGATGTTTTGCATGAGTAGAAAATATCCGATGGTTTGATCCGAAGCGTTTGTTGAATCGATAACTGTCACATCACTTAAAAGGCACACGTGGCCTGTTATAGTCACGGGGAATAAAACAAAAATACCCATAAAAGTTCAGCCTGTTGGTTCTCCAGCTACAAAAACTATCTCTAATGCTGAAAAATAAATAATCAGCATAAGGCCGGCAGTGAGTTAATCGTAGAAAACTCGAAGCTTTACATGAAAATGTCTTCAGTATACGAATTCCGGTTCCAATATTCGCATCAAAATATATTTCATTCGTCAATTGCTGAAATAGCTTCTTTACAAGTCATTTTTGCATCAGAAGCTCGTGTCCTATACTGAAACAAATCTTAGCACCAAAGAAAAAGACAGTGCAATACAATTGAGTATAGACATCATCAATTGCAATGTGCCCGAAAAATGTTGAAAATCATCTATAGCTCTATTTCACGATCAAACATTCTTTGACAAATATTGCAAGGATATACCATACCATATTTATTTTGGAATGACATGATACGTGTGATTGAGTATTGTGCGAAATCTTCTCTTGGGCAATGCAAGCATATTTTAGTCATTTCTGAAAAACAGTTTCATCATGAAAATGTTTAGAGATTTCATTTCCTGATCGGACTGTGTGAATTTTTTTATGATACATGTGAGAGGAAATAGAGTCTTCTGAAAAAAATCCTAGCAGAAAGGATGTTTCTGATTTCTTCTTTCTGAAGTCCATAAAATTTAAACTTCAATTTCAAAATTAGACTGCCATGATGCTGTGCTAATGCCTGGAAACTCTGATATCCCTCTACTCTGATTGCATATTTTTCAAGGAGTTAAATGCGCATTGAATATTCGACCAGTTCTGCCTGCAAAAAGCTTGGAATCAATTCCTTCACCGCATCGATCATAAAATTACGACAACGCAGCACGGTTGGTCAAGGTAGGTCGCACTTTCTGAGAATGATGGATGGCGAAATCCGCTCAACATTAGCGCAATATTTCTTTCCTTCGAAGAAATATTTCGTCGGCATGTGTAGTCATTGAAATAATAAATCAGCTGAGCCTGCAAAGAAATCATGATGTTCTTCGAGAAACGCACGTATATGAACACATCAGATGATCAATCAAGTACCAGCACAGCTTTCACATCTGCAAGTGACGTTAGCCGAGTGTGATAAAAAGTAATCCTTCGATTCGCAGTACCCGAAATAATCTGCGTTTCGTGACCCCCCAGAGTAAGTCTTTTCCTCGGGGAATGAAAAAATGCGACCCCTTCCCTCACTACCCCTGCACGAAGGGGGTTAGGATACCCCAGGGAATCCATAACGCACGTTGCCTAATACCATCACGTATATAGCAGCAAAGACTGTACATGCGAGGAAAGAGGCGAGTGGCCGACTTTTTGGCAGCAGGAGTGAAAACCGGCAAGAATATTTCTGCTTCATCAAGTGATGATATTTCTGTCACTGTTTGCTGTGTGGTCAAATAGAATGCATCAAATCCATCGTGGAAAACTGAGATTATTGCTATTCAGGCAGAGTGAATGAGGGAATCCCTCTTCAAAAAACTCATTTTCCACATATATATATGTTGGGCACTCGTGTAACCAAAAAGAAAGGAATGATAACGATGCATTGGAGCGTATATAATATATGCAATCAACCAGTTTGAAGTTGAGAACAGATATTCAAGAGGATTCTATGCTTTTTCTTCAAATGAAATCAGTGTGTTTTTGAGGGAAAAGAAATTCTGCAGTTCAGAAGGAACACTGAAAATACTGTACAACTAAATAAAACAAAACTGCCATGAGGATCATACAAAATCAAATACTTTTAAAAACAGCCATCTTACAAAAGAAAATGACCGAGAAAAAAATTACACAATTTTTTACTCCCTTGGAGAACATAAAACTAAAAAAATAATGCGATTAAAATGAAATCCGTAACAGAATTGAAATTCATGTACAGTATTAGGATTTTAAATGTTTCGTGTAATTTATCAATTGATCTATACGAAACCGAAATAGTATGGTTTTCCTGTTGGCGGTCGTCTAGGATTCATCATGAGAACGAAACGAAATAGAAATAAGAGAACGTATACATAATACAGGGAGCTGCACTTGGTACCGTGACTATACACCATGTAGCAAATCTGCAAAAATGAGCCACGTGTTCCAAATAACAGCTGTTTTCCGCCTCTGCAAAATAATAACTAATGCTTGTTCCCTGCTGACGTTTTCGAGTGCAGCGAACTCGTCTCTTGCACCGGGGTGTAGCTGATGAGTTATTGCTTATACCCCGTCACAGTCCACAGGGAATTTTCGGAATCCACTGGCGAAAAACATCCTCGCTTATTCTCTCATCTGAGCATCAACGTGAGATCACATTACAGAATGGATTTCTCGCCAATGGTCGCTACTTTTTTGACAGGGACGCACTTTCATTATCCCGGAACTCTGCTTCTGGGCTTGGGACGGCTGGAACTATTTTCAGAAGATATTTAAGATTTAAGGTTAAAATTCTTAC